TTTATACTGAACATAGATATGCCCACCACCTGGACTGAATGATTAACATTTTTACAACACAAAATCTATCCATTTATCTATCCAAAACCCTGTCTTTTAAAAAATGCTCTCCAGGGTTACAGACATCAATATATCTCCCTCCCAATTTCATGGGATGAAATTGCAGAACCAGCAATAGTGACATTCTAAATAGCACAGGGTCAGTTGATTGCAGGACTAAGTTGAACCTCACTGGACCCTGAGGCAAAAGGAAATATCAGCAGTAACCAGATTGTCTTTATTTCAATTTTTGGTTTTTGTTCCTCGTAGTATTTTGAACATTGTGGTTCCTTTTTTTAAACTTACCTTAAAATACTATTTATCTTGCTTACTGAATTTTTTTTATATGCTCTTAAATTTTGCTCCTGAGGCAAATTCTTCATTTGGCCTCATGCTAGTCCTAGCCCTGGGTTGAAGCTGGACATGAAAGATGAGCTCTGTTCCATAGAATTTGGTTGGGTCTTTTAAAAAATCAGATGTAAGTGATTCCACTGTGATGCTGTGGGCACCTCCTCTGCCAGCTGTGAGCTCCAGCAGGGGGCGTACAAGGGCAGAGGCTCAGGCCAAGGACGTGCAGAGGATGACTGGCAGTTCTGTGGTATGGGGCACAGGGAAGTTCTTGAAGGGGCTGCTGATCTCCCAGACCCTGTGACCCATTTCACTCTCTGGGGCTTTGTCAGTTTACCTGGGATCTCAGCTGGAGCAAAGACCCTGGCCTGGGCTGCTGTGTAGCAACCTAGTGGTATGACTATTACAGGTGACTTGCACAAACAAGTGACAAGCCTCCTAAGAGAAAATGATTCTAAGAGACAATAGAGAAGACAGGCTGGGAGTGGGACAATTCTAAAATCCATGTGGCACCTGAAACTCATCTAGATATTTGCTCTAGAAAATGGAGTTATGGCTAGCCTTCGGAAGAGGGGTTCTCCGAGGCAAAACATAAGTCTGCTCAGTAAAAATGTCTGTAATACCCTGGGTGCCGAGTCATCTTCTCTTCAAGTCAAACATGAAAGGGGAGAAAAGCTTCCTGTCCTTATCTACAAGGATATATGAGAAATTATGGGATCTTGAAGTGCTGGTACATTCATGGAAGGACTCAGCGAGAGAAGATAGAGGAACCTCAAAAGTCAGTGAAAAGACTAGTCCCTGAACACATCTGGGAGGTCTCCTGGGACCAGGAAAAACCAAAAGAGTTTTTAGCAGGAAAAAAAATAGCTGAAGGCCTGTGAGAGCTCCTAAGGAAGCAAGCAGAAGCAAAAGTCGGGGAAATTTGAATCAACCATTACATCGTCCCACCTGCAGGCAAAAGTCCAAGTATAAAGGTAATGTGAGCTTCTCATGGAAGGTGGTAGAAGTGAAAAATAACCAAGGTGTGGAATAAACTACTACTTGTGGGTTTAGTAATACCGGAGAATAGGTAACCTGGAAGGCACTTTGCTACTGGTATCTAAATATGATGGAACAAATATGACATCTTTTTTTTTTTCTCTCTTGGTATCAGGGATTGAACCCAGGGGTGCTTAACCACTGAGCCACATCCTCAGCCCATTTTTATTTTGAGACAGAATCTCTCTAAATTGCTTAAGGCATTGCTAAGTAGCTGAGGCTGGCCTTGAACTTTCGATCCTCCTGTCTCACCTCCTGAGCTGCTGAGATTACAAGTGTGTGCCACTGTGTCCAACCTAATATGAAATCCTTTAAAATGTAGGGCTAAGCTTTAAAAAGGGGGTGGGGGAAGGAGGAAATGCTTACATGAAAACAACCAAGAGAGAACTGAAAAACAGAGTGCAATTCACACGAGTGCGTGCCTAGAGTGGCTGATGTCATCAAGAACCTGGAAGTTTCACCTTAATATCTATGGGAGACAGCGATGAGATTTTGACGAGTCAGATCCATACCTCAAATATTCTAGCTAAGGCCTCCTAGGAACCATTTGCTTATGGAGAGGATGACTGAAAACAATCTCTCTAAGGCACAGGAAGATGGCTGGGATGTTTGTTGTCTTTTGTGAAAAAGAACAGTTCCCAGGAGAACTAATAATCATGACCTTCTACCTAACATTGACTTACAATTCAAATTTAACTTTCTTCCTAGTTTAGAAGTGCCAAGCCAGGGAATAATATAAGTTTCTGGCTGTCAATACTTCCAGGATATCTGAAAGAAGCATATATATTAATTCTTTGATGTATAAAGGTATAAAGTGTCCTTACCCCAAATCACATGGGGTTCTGACAGAAAATATAAGAGGAATCTATCACCAAAAAGCGAGTTAGCAGACAAAAACAAACCAAAAACACAATATTACCCTTCCAAACTCTTCAGATAATAGAATACTTTGACTGAGACGATGAAAAATATCTTTAAAATTATTCAGACATAAAAATTGAAACAAGAAAAGATCAAGATTCACACACACAAAACCCCAAGCAGATCTGAAAAACAGCTTCCATAATTAAAAATTGTAATAACAAAAATTTAAAAATCAATAAATAACACTGAAGAGAGGGATAATTAGAAGATATATCTGAATAAACATCAGCATGAGTAGGGATATGTAACTCTACAGGAACCATGGAAAAGAGATAAGAGAAATTCAAAATAGAGAAGGCATAACATATATCTAGTAGGAGTTCCAGAGAGAGAAAAAAAGGAAAGAGGAAAGATAAGACACAAACCATTGATCCGAAGGACATAACAAAATTGAAATCAGGATAAAAAGAGATAAAGATTGATATTCAGACACAGTGTGGGTAAATTTCAATAAATTAAAAGATTTAAAGACAACCGAGAGAGAGAGAGAGAGAGAGAGAGAGAGAGAGAGAGAGAGAGAGAGAGAGGAAAAGAGCAAAAAAAAAAAAAAAGAAAAAAAAAAAAAGAAAAGAAATTTAGAGAGCTGGACATGGTGGTGCAAGCCTACAATCCCAGTGGCTCCTGAGGCTGAGGTAGGAGGATGGAGAATTCAAAGCCAGCCTCAACAATGGTGAGGCACTAAACACCTTATTGAGACCATGTCTCTAAATAAAATACAAAAAAGGACTGGGGATGTGGCTCAGTGGTTGAATGCCCTGAGTTCAATCCCTGATACTAAAAATAAAAAAAAAAAAGAGGTCCTAAGCAACTCAGTGAGGCCCTGACTCTAAATAAAATAGAAAAAAGGGCTGGGGATGTGGCTTAGTGGTTGAGCATCCCTGGGTTCAATCCCTGGTACCACAAATAAAAAGCAAGATTGAATAGAAAACAGAGATAGAATTATCAGGAATTGAAGGCATCTACATCACTCGACTTGCTGTATTAAGCAGGAACTACTGACTGCCTAGCATGATGGAAGAAAACAGATCCATGAAATTTCAGGATCCTGGAAGCAAAGGGAACATCTAGTGGCTTCCAGAGAAACAAAATGTTTACATGAAAGGTCAAAGGTCAATTTCACATTTCTCAGCAACGTTGAAAACTAAGGAAAAAATGGAAAGTGCTTTCAATTCTAAAGGAAAATGACTTCCACACCAGAATTCAGCCATACCTTCAACATTATTATCACTGGGTTAGAAGACACTTAAAGACATTCAAGGTCTCAAAAAGTTATCCTTAATACTCTCCCTTATATTCATTCTATAGACTATTGTAGAGTCTACTCCAAAGCAAGAGAGTACACCAAGAAAAATCACTCAGGAGACAGGAGAGGGGACCACAACACACAAGTAAAAAAAAAATCCTGAGATGATGGAAAAGCAAGACCACAGGATGAGAGCTGTGCTACAGGCACTGGGTAGCTGGCCTAATTGGAAGCAGAAACTGATACCGCATTTTATGAGTTAAATAATTGAGGGATATTTAGACATCTATTTGAGGGTTTGCGGGGGTTCCATTAGAAAGTACAGTCATGCATCGCTTCATGATAGCGATCTATTCTGAGAAACGCACTGTTAGGTGACTTCATCTTGCAAATATCAGAGTGTATTCATACAATTAAGAGGGCTCCAATGTATGCATGACTGTGTGTGAAATAAAGGGCAACTCCTAATATAATGAAAAACTGTACAGAAACTTTAACAGCGATTCTTGAGAAGGGTTCAGGGTCTTCTATCTTGCTCAGAGTGTCTATTCAGAACTTTCTTGTATAATCAACTTGACTTTGTCCCTCAAAACTGAGTGTTCCAGAGCTGGTACATTTAGGGTAGCTGCTCTGATTCTTATTATCTCCTTAGCTAGTGAAGAAGAAAATGAAAGGAGAGTGTGCCCAATGCTTTTAGGGCTAAAAGTGGGAGTGGACCACATCAACTCCACTCCCACCCCTATTGGCTAGAACCTGGTGACATTATAAAGTTTTTTTGTTTTTGTATTGTATTGCAACATACACATGCTGAGAAATGCAGCAATCATAAGTGAACCGCTTGAAAATTTTTCACGAAGTGAGCTCATCTGCATTGCGAGCTCTTGTCCCATAAACATTGTCAATACTCCAGAGTTTGAGCTTCCTAGACAGCTTGAGGGAATAGTCACAGGGAAAGGGTCTCCTTTAAGCAAGTTGCAGGGCTAGGGAAAGGTAAGCACGCGAAGGCGGACCCCAAGATGATAAGGAGCTTCTCCTGGCAAAGGGGGCGTGACTAGTCGAAAGCCAAAAAAAAGGCAGTCTAGAGGCCGGAAAGGGCGGAGCCTGGCGGCACTACGCGCTGGAGGCGGGGCTTCCTGGCCTGCAGCCCCGCCTAGAACGAAGGGGCGTGGTCTCTTATGGGCTGGGAACAAGGTTAACCAACGTCAGGATTCGTGGCCAGAATGGGCTTGGCCTAGCGGCCCCGAAAGCTTATAACCTTGACCACCAAGGGCGAGTTAGGGAGAGAGATTGGCCTGGCTTCGAGAGAGGTGGTTGTTCTGAAGCCCTCTCGGGCGCAAGCCGTACGGCCTTACGTAGGGGGCGGGGCTTCGCGGCGGCGGCAGGGCGAACGCTGCGTCGAGGGGCGGGGACGGCGCGCTCTAAGATGGCGGCCAACGTGTTCCCGTTCCGCGACGCCCGAGCCGCGCCGGATCCGGTGCTGGAGGTCGGACCCGTGGCACACGGGCCGCTGCCCCTACCGCTGGTGCTGGACAATGGGTCGTTCCAGGCCCGTGCCGGCTGGGCGTGCCCCGGGCCGGATCCGGGCCCCGAGCCGCGCCTACAGTTCCGCGCGGTGTGCGCCCGCGGGCGCGGCGGGGCGCGAGGCGGAGCGGGCCCGCAGGTGGGCAACGCGCTGGGCAGCCTGGAGCCGCTCCGCTGGATGCTGCGCTCGCCCTTCGACCGCAACGTGCCCGTCAACCTGGAGCTGCAGGAGCTGCTGCTGGACTACAGCTTCCAGCACCTGGGCGTCTCCTCACAGGTGCAAGCGGGGTGGGCTGGGCGTGAGGGAGGGATGAGGTCTTGTCGGCTCACGCAGCTTTTCAGGAGGGAGTCGGGCTTCCAGTGGCTCTGATTATCTTCTGCTTAGTCGATCATGCTAAGTACTTAAAATGTGTGTGTCCTGCTTTAGGGTAGTGATCGAACAATGCCTTTTCTTTTCCCATAGAATATACGTTAGGGCATATATGCTCGTGTCTGATTTATTTATGAATACGTACTGTGCACCAGCCCTGTGTCAGGCATTTTATTTTAGGCGTTTGGAATTCAACTGTGAACATCGCACAAAACTTTTAGTGCCAATGGAGCTAGTGTGGAAAAATACTAGTATGAAAAGACAGGCGTCAGTGCTGTGATAGAAGAAGATGAGGAGGTTACATTTTTTTCAATGTGTGGTTGGAGTAGGGACTCTTGGGGAAAGTATGTCTGAGCAAGGACTTGAAGGAGATAATTGAGGGAGCATGCCCTGTGAATATATGAAGGAAAAGTATCCCAGTTAGAGAGAATAGACAGTGAAAAGACACTGAGTCCGAGTATGGTATAATCCTAATCGCAGGACTGCCGGAGTGAGGGGGCAAGTACCTGGAATAGGTACAACCAGGAAGAGGATGTCAGAGAAGTAGTGTGGGGACAAATTGCACACCTTATAGGTTTTTCCTCTCAGTGAATTGGGGAGCAGTTGCAAGGCATTAAGCAGAGGAGGGACACAATTTTTATCTAAAAAGGATCACTATAGCTGATGCAGAATGGACTGTCATGGAAACGGGGAGACCCCTTAGGAGACTTGGAATAAAGCAGATGAGGGATGGTGACAACTTAGATAAGTAGCAGGGGATGTGAAAAGAACCAGTTGGATAGAGGTATTTTGGATATAATCATTTAGTCAACATTATTTACTGACAGTTTGGATGAGTTTTCACTTAATAGCCTTAAGTTTCATATTTTCCAAAACTACTTCCAGTAGAGGCAAGAGATACACACACACACACACATATTTAAGTTGGACACAATACCTTTATTTATTTACTTTTATGTGGTGCTGAGGAGCGAACCCAGAACCTTGCACATGCCAGACATTTTACTACTGAGCCACAACCCCAGCCCAAGATTTTTTTTTTTTAATATTTGTTTCTGGTCAGGTTTTTGATTAGGGATCAAAAGTGAATTCTGCCCTGCACTAAGATTGTTTTTTTTTTTAATGTTTTAAAGAGTATTATGTTATCACTCATTTTTTTCCCCCTTTTCTTTCAAACTAGGGTTGTGTGGATCATCCCATAGTTTTGACAGAAGCTGTGTGCAATCCTCTATATTCACGCCAAATGATGTCTGAACTCCTTTTTGAGTGCTACAGGATCCCCAAGGTTGCCTATGGAATAGACAGCCTCTTCAGCTTCTACCACAATAAGCCAAAGAACTCAGTTTCCTGTGGGCTCATCATTTCATCTGGATACCAGTGTACACATATTTTACCCATCTTAGAAGGAAGGTGGGTTGTGACTTTTGAGTGGTATTTTAAGAAGCATTCAGGGACCAAGGATGACTCAATGGTAGGGAGCTATGCCTAGCATGTATGAGGCCCTGGGTTTGATCCTCAGTTTTCCCTTGCCGAAAGCAGCTTTCAGTAAACATTTAGTGTTTACTGTAAAGTTGGAGTGGAAAGAGCATGTACTAGACTCTAGTCTATAAACTGAGCTGGGCTTAGCTCTGACCTACATCACTGTATGACCACGTCACTTTGCCTGACCTTTTGACCTCCTGGAAGGAGTTGGAGGAGATGGTCTCTTAGGTCTAAACATAGTTCTAGAATTTTATAATTCTAATGGGAAGATAGTTAACATAGTATCTGTAGATAATAGGCACTCAATAAAAATGTTTTGAATAATTTGAAAAAATTTTAATTAGACTAACTTTGTGTTATGTAGATACTTTTTAATTTAGACTTAAAAAATTTTAAACTCTTTGATCACTACTCATACCTTTCTGTTCGGTTATAGTACCTGATAGAGGCATTTATTAAAAATTTCTGAGTTGAATAAAAGACAAAGATAGTTTGTCTATTCCCACTTGATAGTTTGGCTTTCTTTCACTGTCCTATAAGAGATTAGGCCAGCTTTATGCTTCTCACATTGCGTAAGGAATTGACACTATAGGGAAAGAGCCTTGGCCTTGGAGTTGAATGCCCGGGTTTGCAACCCTGTTAAGATAAGGTACTTAACATCTTTGTTTCCTCACATGTGAAATTGGAAAAAAAAAATAACTTTCTAGGCTTGATGAAATGAGTGATATGGGTGGTGGTACTTTATAAATTGTAAAGCAGTCTGAATATTTAAGGCAAACAAATGCCATTAAGTTTATTGAGACCTATAGTGAGACTCTCGAAGTTTCCATGAAAATCTGTAAAACCAGAAGTAAGGCATTATCGAACTTCTCCAAAGTATGGAATTCTATAGTTTGTGTAAGCAGAATATGCAAAAATTAAAGAAACCATGTATATTCTATTGAGAGAAAATTATTTTATCTGAGAACTAAGGAATTTTCAGATTGGTGCATGGCCTGTTTTGTGCTGCCATCTCCTGGTGAAGTATGATTGAACAGCAGCGTTTGGATATGCAGCAAATTCCCAATGCTCTGCTACTCTCCCTTTCTTACATTAGGAGCCTAAAGTTGTTGTGTGAGGTGGTACACACCTGTAACATCCCAACTTGGGAGGCTGAGGCAGGAGGATCCCGGGTTTCAGGCCAGTTTAGCAACCCTGTCTCCCCCCAAAAAGGGTTGGGGATGTTGCTCAGTGATAGAGTGCCCCTGGTGTTCAATCCCCAGTACTGCATGAACCTTTGGTTCATGTAAAAGAGATCTGGCCCTTAGAAGATGCCAGTAAGCCTATAGGTGATTTATTATTTACTCTAATTGCATTAGTAGAAGTGGATTTTGTAGGGGAGGAGTTCTGCAAGGGCTTGTTAAAATATAGATTCCCAGGCCCACCCAAGAACAAATGGGCCTGGGAATCAGCATGTTTGACATTTTCCTAGCTAATTCTAGGATATGGTTCTAGGACCATAGTTTGGGAAATACATGATGAGTCACATAAAGGTCTGATTTTGGAGTGTGTGTTTTTTCTCTTAAACCCGTTTCCTTGTGAGACTGGCCAGAAGTTAGATGGCCAGGTGTCTGGATGTGGAAATTTCTGTGTTGGTTAAGAGATTGGACTAAGAGGACTTGAGTCTCTTGCAATTGTAGGGGTTTTGTTTTTTTGGTATCAAGGATTAAACCCATGGGCACTAAACCACTGAGCCATATCCCCAGCCTTTTTTATCTTATGTAGAAACAGGGTTTTGCTGAGTTGCTTAGGATCTTGGTAAGTTGCTGCATCTGGCTTTGAACTTTCTCTCCTCTTGTCTCACCCTCCTGAGCCACTGGGATTACAGGTGTGTGCCACCGTGCCCAGCAGCTGTAAAGTTTTATGCCACCCCCACTTTTCGTCCATTTCTTTGTCTTCATTAAATTATTCTATTTCCAAGATAGTTCATAGTCTCTTCTCTGTGTTGCCAAAAAATATATATTTTCTTGATTGTAGGCTAGATGCCAAAAACTGCAAACGCATCAATCTTGGAGGAAGCCAGGCAGCAGGTTACCTCCAGCGACTCCTCCAACTGAAGTATCCGGGGCACCTGGCGGCCATCACTCTCAGCCGCATGGAGGAGATCCTGCATGAGCACAGCTACATTGCTGAGGACTACGGGGAAGGTAAAGGAGAGGACTTTGCCCGCTGCAGCTTTTGGATTTTGGTGACCTTTGGAGTGTTCTAAGCTATTAAGATTCTTGCTTTCTTATGTTTTTACTCTTTATTTCTTTTAGCACCCCCTTTTTCTTTTGGCATTCACTTTCTTTTTTTTTTTTTTTTTTGGCACTGGGTATTAAACACAGGGGCTCTTTACCACTGAGCTACATCCACAGCCCTTTTTATTTTTTGAGACAAGGTCTTGCTAAGTTGCTGGGGCTGGCCCTAGTTTGTGAACCTCCCACCTCAGCCTTCCAATTCAGTGGGATTACAGGCATGTACCACCACACCTAGTGTGTGGATGGGTTTTCTCGTTGACATTAAAGATCTTTTCTTCAGTTGACTACTACTACTAAGCTCCAGAAGGGCAAACACTGTCTTTAAAAGAAAACTAAGTTTGGTGAAAACCACGTAACGTAAAATTTACTATCTTAATCATTTTTAAGTGTGGAGTACAGTAGTGGCTAAGGGCTGTGTCTTCAAGTACCTGTTATTCCTGGGATAAAAGAAATTAGAGAAACACATATAAAAAGAAAGAATCTGTGGGGCTAGGGCTGTAGCTCAATGGTAGAGTGTCTGTTTATCATGTGAGGCCCTGGGTTTAGTCCCAAGCAGCATAAACGCAGTCTGACAAAGAATTTGGGAGCACCCCCAGGCCAGAGAGGTGCTTGTCAGATGACACAGCTCTCTCTGCTTTTCCTTCTTTGTTCTCAAGGTGTTCTGGTATCAGCTTGTTTTGTAATTGACTTTTTTTGGGGGGTGTGTTCTGTGCATTTAACACATCTATAGATCCACTATCACAATTGTGTATACTTTTATCCCAAGAAACTCACTCGGGCTTTCTCTTTATAAGTCATATTCTGTCCCCATCCCAAGCAGTTGCTCATCTGTTCTTTGTTAATGTAATTTTCATCTGTTCCAAATGTTATATAAATAGGATATGTAACTTTTTGAAAGTTTCATTCAGTGTTATGCCATTGAGATTCATCCAAATTGTTGAGGATCTCAGTGGTTCTTTCCTTTTTATTGTGGAACTGTATTGTATTATATGGAGGGACTACAGTTTGTTTATCCATTCATCATGAATAGTCATTTGGGTTGTTTCCAGTTTTTGGTGGTTGTGGCTGGAGCTACTGTACATATTAATGTTCGGGTACATGGTAAATGTATGTTTAACTTTAGAAGATTCAAAGCTGTTGAATTGTTTCTGCTTTAGACTGTTGATGTGGGGGATTATAATGATTGTGTTTGAATATGGAACATTCTTGTTTTTTTGGATAAACCTTCTTGTTCGTGTGTATTACTCTTTTTGTGTATGTATAGCTGAACTTGATTTGCTACTATTTTGTGAGGGATTTTTTGGTGTCTGTTTCATGGGGGACATTGGTATATGGTTTCTTGTGCTATTTTGGTGTTAAGGTGATGACTGGCCTTGTTCAGTGAGTTGAAAAGTGCTCTGCCTTTTACTACTCTCTGGAAAGATGGTGTAAATAATTGATGTTATGTTTTTTTCTTTAAATGTTTGGTAGACTTCTCTAGGAGAACCATTGAGTCTAAGGATTTCTTTTTACAAAGGCATTTAACTATGAATTCAGTTTCTTTAATAGACACAGGACTATTTAGGTAACCTCATTGGTTTCTTCTATTTATTTTTTTTTCTGCTTGATTCATTTTCCTCTTCTTCTTGAAACTTAAGATTGTTATGAGAATGTTCTTTTGAAAACAACCACCACCAAAACAAAAAAGCCTAGCATTTAATTCTGCAGTTTTCCCTCACAGCACTGCTTTTTACCTGTTTCCCACAAATTTTGATATATTTTCATTTTTATTGAATTATAATGTTTTCCAGTTTTCTTCAAGACTACTTCTTTAAGCAATTGATTAAATTTCTTTAAGCAATTGATTGCTTTATATACAGCATTTGGAGATTTTCCTATTATCTTTCTATGATTTATTTCTAGCTTAATTCTGTTATGATCAAAGTTCTTTGTCTAATATAGGTTAAATTTGCTTGTTTGATAACCCAGGGTCTGGTCAACTTTGGCAGAAGTTACTTTTTTGGGGGCGGGGGTGGTACTGGAAATTGAACCCAGGGGCATTAATCACCATATCCCCAACCCAATTTTTTTTTTTTTTTTTTTTTTAGTTGTAGATGGACTCAATACCTTTATTATGTGTATTTTTATGTAGTGCTGAGGATTGAACCCAGTGCCTCACATGTGCTAGGTGAGCACTCTACCACTGAGCTACAACCCCAGCCCTTCTTTATAATTTTTTATTTTGAGACAGGGTCTTGTTAAGTTGCTGAGGCTGGCTTTGCATTTGGGATCCTCCTGCCTCAGCCTTCTGAGCTGCTGGGATCATAGACGAGTGCCACAAAGCCCAGCTGGCATAAGTTCCTGAAAAGGATATGCATTCTGGAGAGTGTCCTGTGCTGTCACTTAGCTTCCGTTGGTTGAGGTGTTGCTCTGTTTTTCTGTATCTCTGTTTACTTCCCATTTATTAACTCTACAGATAATAGAGAAAAATGAATTGAAATCTCTGGGTGTACTTGTGGGTATTCCTTTTTCTCCCTTCAGTTCTGTCAAGTTTTGTTTTCAGGTATTTTACTCTTTTTTGGTAGGTGCATATTTAACAAACTTCTTGCCAAATTGACCTTTTATCATTATGTATTGTCCTTCTTTATCCTTGGCAATTGTGTTTGAAGTCTGCTTGAGCATTAATAAAGCCACGCCAGCTTTCTTTTGATTAGGGCTTGCATGGCACGTCTTTTTGTCCTTTAACTTTTAACCTATCAATATTGCTGTATTCAAAATAAAGTTTTTAGTAGTTAGATCATTTTTTAAAAGTCCGTTATAGCCAAGCACAGTGGTGCTTGCCTGTAATCCCAGCAATTAGGGAGGCTGAGACAGAAGGATTTTGAGTTCATGGCCAACTGCAAGTTAGCCAGTCCCTATCTCAAAATAAGAAGGGTTGGGATGTAGCTTAGTGGTATAGCACCCTGGGTTCAATCCCAGTACCAAAAATAAAAAAATCTTTGTGTCAGATTTTTTACAATTTTTTTACAATTTATTATTCATATTTGGATTTAGGTTCACCATTTTATATTTTTAATATTGTTGTTCCCTCAATTTATTGTTTGTTTCTCTCTCTTGCCTTTTAGGTTATTTGAACATTTTTAAATTCCATTTTAACTTTTCTGTTTTTTTTTCCTTTTTTACTGTATCTGTGTTTTTTTTTTAAGCAGTTTTTTGAGATTATTGTAAATTTAACTTTTCATGGCCTATTTAGAATTGATATTTGAAATGGAATGTAGAAATGTTAACACTAGATCATTGGTGCTGTCTTACACGTGTCCATCTGTATATGCCGGAAGCCCATCAGACAGTGATGTGATTTTTTTACTTTCAATTATCAAACCTAATTTAAAGAACTCAGGAAGAGATTAGTGTGTTGGGTTTAACCAGATTTTCATAATTTCCATCGCTGTTCTTTCATTCCTGATGTTCTAGGCTTCCTTCTGGTACAATTTCTATTTGAACAACATCACATCAGTTTTTTTAGAACAGGTCTGCTGGCAATATGTCCACATTTTATTGCAGCATGTAATTGATTGAGTGGATTCAGAGATTGGCTGGATGGTGTTTTCTCCGTCTTAACCTGCATCCGAAATCCTTGTGTTTTGATTTTTGTGTTGTTAGTGTTTCCATTTTATGACTTCTAAAATTCTTTTTTTAAAGAATTGCAAAAGTGGCAGTGCCCTGATTATTATGAGAACAATGTCCACAAGATGCAGCTTCCATTTTCCAGCAAGCTCCTGGGCAGCACTCTGACCGCTGAGGAGAAGCAGGAGAGGCGGCAGCAGCAGCTACGGCGGCTGCAGGAGCTCAATGCCCGACGGCGAGAGGAGAAGCTGCAGCTGGATCAGGAGCGACTGGACCGACTACTCTATGTTCAGGTGACAGCAGATGCTGGGATGGGTCTCTGGCCTCACTTAAGAAGGTGGTCCCAAGGAATTTTCTCCTCTGAATTTTTCCTTAGCCATAAGTATGTTGATTAAGCTTGACATGATGATATACGCCTGTAATTTCAGTGACTTGGAAGGCTGAGGTAGGAGGATTACAAGTTTGAGGTCAACCTCAGCAATTTAATGAGGCCCCAAGCAACTTAGTGAGACCCTCAGAATTTAAAAAATAAAATTTAAAAAATAAATAAAAAGGGCTGGAGATGTGGCTCAGTGGCTAAGTACCTCAGGGGTACAATCACCAGTATTTAAAATAAAAGAAATTGATTATTGTAAGTCACTCTTGGGGTTAAGGAGGAGCCCAAGGGGATCATTAGAACTGAGATCATTAATACAGAGTCTAGTATGGCAATAGGTGTTTCTGAAAGAGTTGTTGACACCAGCTTCATTGATTTTTTTTTTTTTTTCTTTTTCTTTTTGCCTTATAATCTCCTTTAGTTAGTTAGTTTGTTTATTTATTTTGGTACCGGAGATTAAACCCAAGGATGTTCTATCACTGAGCTACATCATCAGCTCTTTTTTGTATTTTTTATTTTGAGACAGGGTCTTGCTGATTTGCCCAGGTTGGCCTTAAACTTGTAATCCTCCTACCTCAGACTCCCAAGTCACTGGGATTACAGGCATGTGCCACTGTGCCCAGATAATTTGTTTTTTAACTTTTTAAGTGTAGTATGTATGATGCAATGTGCTCAGATCCTAAGTATGCATCTTGTTGAATTTTCTTGAAGTGATATGTGCCATGTATTTGCCCTCAAGTCAAGAAATAGCATCACCATCCTCCCTCATATCTCCTCTTCGCCAATAACTACCCCATAAAGATGACAACATTTCTGACGTCTGTCACTATAGATTAGTTTAGTCTAGCCAGGCTTTGATCCTAGTCCAGAACAGCAGGGGAGGAGGGCAGCCATCTGAACCTTTTTTGGGGGAGCTGGAAGTGTAAGTCTGTGGAAGGCAGGCTAGGGGGACCTTGGGAACCTCCTCCTGCTGCAGTTCTTTCTACTTTCTACTTTCTTTGGCTTTTAAGCTACTTCTCTTTCCTTCCTTTTTGTGATTGTACTATGTGTATATGACTGTTCTGGTTTCAGGAACTTCTAGAGGATGGAAAGATGGATCAGTTTCACAAAGCTCTGATAGAGCTGAACATGGACTCCCCAGAAGAGCTGCAGTCCTACATACAGAAGCTCAGTGCAGCAGTGGAGCAAGCGAAACAGAAAATCCTTCAAGCAGAAGTCAACCTCGAGGTGGACGTGGTGGACAGCAAGCCAGAGGTGACTGAAGGTCTTGAGAGGGAGACCCAGTGGGGTCATTTAGAGAGAGCAGCCCTCCTGAGAGGGAGGAATGCCTTAAGGCTGGTATCAAAGGCGTTGTGACTAGGTGTTGGGGGGGGAGAGAGCAGCTCGATGAGGTGCGTGGATGGAGGTAGCCATGGCAGATTTGTACCAGTGAAGTTCTGACCAGAGGGATATCACCCCACGATGGGCAACAGAATGTGAACTACGAAGAACATTCACACCAGTTCTGTGTTGCTCCTTGAGCCTGAACCTATTTCTTTGTCATTTAACAGTACATCATGGTTGATTGTTCATTTACCTCTTTCCATCTTGATGTCAACTGAGAATAGGGCTCATGCTTTATACACAGTTTATGGATTTTTTTTAAAAGGTTATAGGCTGACACATCTTTTATTTATTTATTTATTTATTTAATGTGGTGCTAAGGATCGAACCCAGCACCTCACGCGTGCTAGGCGAGTGCTTTACCTCAACCCCAGCCCAAGTTTATGGATTTTTTTTTTTTACAATAACTGGCAGATGTGCTGGATAAAACATTTACAGGTTGATTTAAATATATTTTTAGTTGTAGATGGACACAATGCCTTTATTTTATTCATTTATTTTTATGTGGTGCTGAGGATCAAACTCAGTGTCTTACATGTGCTAAGCTACAACCCCAGCCAAGATCATTTTTTAATTAGATACTAAAGACTAACTCTGAATAAGCTCTTTAATTTCCTTTTGCTCCTTTCTGTTCTCTGCCAGTGGACTGTTAATAGTAGGTGTTAGTGTGACCACAAGGGCAGGTAGAAGAACTGAGCTGAGGACCTGGGTAGCCCAGACCTGATACCTTGGGGCCTACATAGTGAAGGAACGGATAGCCTATATCAATTCAGCCCAGCAGTCACTGGCCGGGTCTCCTGTCTGTAGAACTGGAACAGAGTACTATTAAGTATATACAATATAACTGAATTTGTCATCCCTAGAATTCCAAAACAAAGGAACTTACTTATTATCTTATGACATGTTTGAGCAGGACTAACGAGAGTAGCTGTTGGTTTTTTGTTTTTAAGTCAATCAGCTTTTTAAAAACTCTTGATTACTTGTGTTTTTAGAAACAGTACTGAAGAAAGATCTGAGTCAATGCCATTTGATGCCCTGTGTGGTGTGGTGCTCATCAGTGAGGTCACAGCCAACTTTGGCTCAGCAGGAAGCTTACTTTACTATAGTTTTTGCTCTTGGACTTGCATTCTCCGTCTGTTGATAGGCTGCAACTGAGGACTGAGCCAGCCGTGAGCATGCTTGCTTTATAGAGCACATCCTGAGCTAGGCTTCCTGGATCCCCCTCTCTGGTCACTACCATCTAGGGAAGGAAGGGCTTTGGCCTCATTCCTCCACCCGGATCAGCTTCTCTTGAATCACTGTGCCTTTTTGTTGCTTCCCCCAGATTTGACCTGTGGTTTAATGCAACCCAGATCCATGTTGTCTCTGTTAAGTGTTCATCCATATTTAGTCTTCCTCATGCTCAGCATATCAGTGGGACACAAGTGTCTTTTTATTAGAGAGGTGCCACAAAGCCACATGCAGGTGAGGAGTTTCAGATTTAAAAAGTTAAAAATGAACAGCTGTGAAAATGTGATTCCTGAGCATTTGGGGGAACTGGGTTTTCCTTTTCTTTATTCCTTTTTCTGCATTTGTTACACGCTGTGATTCAGGTGCTCCTCTGTTCATTCACAGGTTCTTCCTATGTCCCCTATATACCTTTGTTCTGTGCTCTGGGGACACACATCAGAATGCTTTGGACTTGGGGAGATTTTGAAATGTTGTATTTCGAAAGAGCCTTCTCTATATAACAAATTTACTGAATTGCTGACACTGAAGCTTTAATGGTCAGTCAGCATTTATTGAGGGTGATTGTTAGTGACTAGAGTCAATTACAGTCAAATTCATGGGATAAATTTAGCTATGATTGGTTAACAAGTTCTACCTTCAAGAAAGTATTTTTTGACAATATAATTCACTTTGAATGAAGTGAATAGGTGGTGGATTGAAGTTCCTGTGAAACTCCACTTATGCAGTAATGGCTTTATATAACTGGGAATTTAAAACTTACACTGTTTCCCAACATCCATTTTTCCTACGGACCAATATGTTCTAGTTGTTTGTATTCTGAAACTATTCCTGTGAGAATGTTGTAAGGAGCAGGCTTTGTTAGCATTCTTAACTCAGTAGTTAAAGTAGAAGATGCTTACTTTTCTCAGCCACAGGCACAGCATTGGGGGGGTGTGTGTGTGCAGATTTAGAATGTCATCATTTGTTGGAAAACACAGTGGGGCCAATACAGAAAGTTCTCTGGCTTTATTAGCAGGATCAGAGTTGGTCCCTGTTGTTCCGCTGCTCAAGAAAATTCCAGGAAACCCTGCTGCTGCTTCTGAAATCCCTGGCAGACTATTAATCTATCTGGTTCCAAAGGAACAGTTGTGTTAGCCCTCCTGAAATACATAGTACATGTGGAGACCCTGGAGAATCTGAGCGGGGGGTGTAGTCAGCCAACAGGACTCTCCTCTGTGGGGTGCATGTTTGCATTGAAATTACTAGCTTGGTTCCTCTCTGAATTGTATGAATTAGCATAAAGAAATTTTTTAAACCACTTTTAGTGAAGCTAATAAGTTTTATTTGTAAGGTGACGTGCTTTGAATGTAGCTGGAAAAAGGTAAATGATGCTGTTTTTCTTGTAACTGAAGAAGTCTTTTGAAACCCAAAATTTTATAGTCTTTGTTCTGGGGGAATTTGAAGGTGGGCGCTACCACCTAGTGTATGCCAGGCATCAGGAATGCAGAGGTGATTAAGATAAGGTTCCTAAAAAGACAAAAAATATAAGGTTTCTGCCCTTCTGAGTGCCTCAAAGGAAGGGCAGAGAGCACAGAACAGAGAGCTTTCCAGGACTCAGCTGAGGAGAACACTCTGCTGGGAGGGAGAGAAGAGTTCGGGGAATGCCAGCTCTCTGTTTGAGACAAAACCTGCAGAGAATAGGGAAATCAGAGAGGTTCATAGAGTTTTAAGATCACAGATGGTCATCCTGACCTCAGATGGAAGATGGTACCTTTATCCTTTGGTGGAAGGATGAAAGGACAAGAAAAAAGAAAAGGAGGTCAAATGGAGAATAAGTAGGAAGTTCAGTTTTTAAAGCAACAAAAAGGATCTGCTAATAATCTCAGGACTGATACTAGGAAGGGGACTGAAGAGGAGAGTGTTGGAAGGGTCTGGGACAATGGCTGTGAGCACTGCACCAGGAAGCTGGGAGGTAATGGAGGGTTCCTAGTGGCTGTCTAGGGCTTTCTGTATTCCTGCACCACTGAAGCATGGCTCACTTATCTGTTGCTGTAAACTTAATAGTGTAAGACAACTACCATTCATTTGTCCTCGCGGGTTTAATGGGTCAGGGATTCTGGAAGAGTAGATCAGATCTGCTCTGTGATGCCTGGGCTGGGAAGACATGAAAAATTGGGGATAGAGTCACCTGGAGGGTTTTTCACTTAACTGTCTAACATCTGGCCTGGGGCAACTCCCAAGACAGGGTTCAGAAAAGACTGTTGACCCCAACTCCAGACAGGGCCTCTTGCAGCGAGGGGTGACTGGCTTCCAAGAAGAAGCTTCCATGAGATGTGTTCATGGTGCACACACTTCAGGGAGTGAAGGTGGAAGGAAGCTGCATGCATTCATCACTTCCTGTCATGACTGTGCTGGAGAAGTCACTTGACATTATTTGCATCAGTTTCTGTTGGAGTCCTCCTGAACTCCTGCTGAGACTACCTCTTTTTTGTCGGGGAGGGTCCCCTTTATGGGGCATGGGGAGTAGAGTGGAACCCCCCAGTACTTGCTACTATTGGGGGGGAGGTCTCAAGTTTTGTCTGTCATTATTTTAAATATACAGCATTTGTGTGTCTCCATTCAACTAATACAACTGAATTGTTGAAGGGGCCAGATGAGTGCTTAAAAGAAAGGAAAGAAGGATTTTTCTGAACAGGAGCTTGTTCTTTATATCGTACTGCTTCCTGGTTCCTGGGTGCCTCAAATGGAAGAGAACTTGGGTGATCCACTTTTGATCTTTGTGGGATCCCCTGTGTCATTTCTCAGAGCTGGGTTAATGCTCCAGAGTAGGCATAGGCACTCCCAGGGCTTGCGCAGCATCTTACAGATTACAAACTATGTAGTCAAATGGAATGTTCCTCTTGCTTGGGCAAAGGAGCATGTCATTTAGGTCAGCTAGACTTGCTGGGCAGGTGAGACTTCTTGCTCATCTCTTTTTTTATTATCCACTCTGGCCTCAAGCTAGGTCTTTTCCTATTCCTAAAGCCTTAGTTGATTTCCTTACACTCAAGACTCCTGATTTATAGAATTTCAGCTGAAGGCAGAACAAAGCTTTGGAGCTGAGCCATTCTCTCCCCTACCATGTTTCCACCACTTATGTGAGTTACTTCTGCCTGAGCCACAGCTTCCTGACCCATGAGCTGACCCATGACCTCCTTCACTGAGACCCAGAGGCTTTGTCCATAACCTACCTCCTGTCCTCCCTGAATTACCTCTTTGTAAACTAGGTTTCTCATCAGGTCCTTTGGTCTCCGATGAAGTACTATTTTTCCTTTGTAGGATTTACACTCAAGCCTGGGAAATGCCACTTATACATGGTCAAATCATTTAAATTGAACAGAATCAGGAACACATTGTTGTGCATTTTGTTTGCCACATATGCCGTGTGATTTTGGGCATGTGAGTGTGGGGGGTAGTATTGAGGGACATTGCCAATTTGCTAGTCTACATTTGCAATATAAGTGCACAGGACGTAGAGGATTATGTTTAAGTTCTCTGAATTGTGTTGGTAATTCACATATTCCATAGATTCTGAGAAAAAGGAGGGACTTGGAACACAAATTAAGTGTGGAATCTTCTTTCAGGCTCTTGTGGCTGTTGGTTACTGGATTTGCTAGAGCCCTCCCCAGACACCACCTTGTAAGTCAGCCTGCTCTGCACCCACCAACATCGATAGAGTATTTTTCTCTGGGATGCAACAAGATATTTCTTCCTCTAATTTCTATCCTTTGAGGTTAGAGGAGGAAGACTTACCTGCCTTTCACATGGCAGAATGACAGATGACTGAAGACATCTTGTGGGACCACTACCTCCACCCTTTTCTCCAGGTTAAAATGAAAACAAAAGTGCTGTGACCCCTCCTTTGGGAATGGTGTCAGCACGCCCAGGCCCCACTCAAGTCATTGTCATTGAAGAGAAAAGCTTGTGCTGCAGGACTTCACAGATAGGAAGCCTTTGCTCACATCTCCAGTCCAGAGGGACCTGCCATTAAGGGACTAATTGTTAAGCCCATTAATGTCGGCACATGTACTTATTAATTTGAGCCAGGCCTTGTGCATGCTGGTGATCCTAGTGACTTAGGAGGTTGAGGCAGGAGGTTCACAAGTTTTAAGGCCAACCTCAAGCAACTTACTGATACTCTGTCTCAGAATTTAAAAATTGAGAAAAAGGGCTGGGGATGTAACTCAGTGGTAGAGCACTTGCCTAGCTTGCGCACAGCTCCATAGTACCATAGATAGATAGATAGATAGATTGATAGATTGATTGATTACCTTTTGTTGGTAGCCTAGCTGCTTTGGAGGACACCCCTTATCACACTGTGCTGCCCCATAGCTGTGTGTATGATGGTGTGACTGATGCAAGCAGCATATCTTCAGGGGCGTCAGCCTGAAGCTGGTGCTATTAGAAAGCTTCAGAGAAAGCAGGAGACAAGGCTTGTATAAGTAGGAGAGGCAGACAATGAAAGCAAAGCCCATTGTTGGCTTTGCAATTTGTTCATGTGTATTCTTTTGTTCAAATAGCGTAGAAAAATGTTCATAGTTTTGACATAGGCTTTTGGAACATTGGGCAAGATTCTAGTTCTTTTTTGTGACAGTGAACTCATAGAATGGGCTTGCTGGAGATATTGGTTCTGATTTGTTTTGTTTGTGCTATTTTGTTTCGTCCTCAGACCCCTGACCTGGAGCCACTGGAGCCATCTCTAGAAGATGTGGAAAGCATGAATGATTTTGAGCCCTTGTTTTCAGAGGAAGCACCAGAAGTGGAGAAACCTGTCACCACTGTCCAGGTTTGACGCCTGCCTCCATGTCCTTGTGTACACTGAAACTGTTGACACAAAGGCCAGTTTGCTTCTTAGTGATACATGTATTTTGAAGTCCCAATTTTTCTTTTTAGAGAAGGGGACATCGGTGCTTACCACATCAGTCAGGGTTTTTTTCCCCCCAGTACTGACTGAGGTTCCAGCACCAGTCTGTGAGAAAGGATAGGCCAGTAACTGGAGGTCTGTAAACTGGCTTTTGATGGTTTCATCTACATTTAAGCCAGTGTTGGAATAGTGGATCCTCTTTAGGGTCTACATTTCTGTCATTACAGTGACACCTGGATAAACTGGCTCATCTGAGGCCCCCCGGGAGGGAGTGTTCTTTTTGTGCAGGGACTGAAACACATAAGCAGGCCCTGGGTGGAGCTGTGGTTTTCTCTGCTAGGCCTTTCATGCCACCCTCCCTTCACTGCCATGCTCCCTGCAACTCAGGGACCATGGCACAGTGCAGTGTGTAGGAATTGTAGTTCAGAGGTTGAAAGAAAGTAGAAAACTGGACCTTCATGTCAGGAGAGTTGGAGAGCCGCTGCTGTGCCATGCACAGAGGACAGAAACTACACTGGAATAAGAGGTGCAGGTGAGGAAACTGGCAACTGGGACGGTTGTCATCATGGCCTAAAAATCTCTCTTAAACCTTGGTTTTTAAAGCCCGTGTTTAACTTGGCAGCATATCATCAGCTGTTTGTTGGGACAGAAAGAATCCGGGCTCCAGAAATTATTTTCCAGCCCTCGCTCATAGGAGAAGAGCAGGCGGGAATAGCGGAGACGCTTCAGTACATTCTGGACAGGTAAGATGGTGACACTTGTTTTCTTGAGCCATTTTCTTTCTTTTCTTTTTTTTTTTCAATTATCATTTATTTATTTTTATGTGGTGTTAAAGACCGAACCCAGTGCCTCACACGTGCTAGGCAAGCACTCTGCCACTGAGCTACAGCCGTAGCCCTCCTTGGGTTTTGAGTTGGAGAGATGGTGGTTGAGCCCTGGGAAATGCGCTTGTTCTTGGTGTTGTTCACTTGCTGTGCTGTCACTAGGCCTGTGACTGGCCTGTCACATGCCTGTGCCTGCGTGGGCTCTATGATTGTGTTCTGAACATGTAAATGCTCAGCTCATGTGAGGAGCGAGAAGAACTCCTTTAGATCAGCGCAGTGTGGTAATGTGCACTGGCTTTCATAGGAAACTTCACAATCCTGAAGACTGGAGATTTTAAATCACCCCAAAAATATTGCAGTGCCTATGAAGGATTTTTTTTCCTCCCTGTGGACATTGCATTTATACCAGAGTTTACATTTCCAAAGTGGGCCTCCCTCCACCCACTTCCAAAGGCGTTTTCCTGCAGTGTGAGTTTCCATGACTCAAGTTGCACAAGTAGGGAATGTAATTTGTAGTTTGTGGGCTGTTTTTGGTATAACAGGATGGAAAAGTGCACCCGCAATGAAAAAACGGAAAAGCACTTCTGCCGTTACTCTGAGTGGCTTTGAGCTATATGTCTTAATGATGGGTGGGAAAGTAATCAAAAGTGAATAACAAAAAGAGGTTATTAAAAAACAAAAACACCCCACACCTCCCAAAAAAACAGGTGTCGGGGTGCTTGCCTGTAGTCCCGGCTGCTCATTTGGCTGAGGCCTGGGCTGCATAGCAAGACCGTGCCTCAAAAAGAAAACAAAATGAACCAACGAAAAAAGGGACAGATGGAGAGATGAGTCCTAAACCCCAGGGAGAGGAGCTTTGGGGATGACAAAATGTTCCATGTCTTGATTGGAGTGATGGCTACGGGAGTACATAAATTTGTTAGCCTTTATAAAAGAATATGTAAATTAATCTTCAGTAAAGTTGATTTTTAGAAAAATGTATTACAAAAGCACAAAAGATTTAATCATGTTAAAGATATGAGTGGAACATTCAAAGTAAGGTTTTGGAAACATTGGGCTGACATTGTAGAGTGACATGAATGAAAAATAACAGTTTTGGTTTTATATATCTTAACTTTTCAAGCAGCTGTTTTCTGTTTCTCACCAAGAGCTTGCATTTCCACATTTCTAGTCTCTTGGAACATTTAAATTGGAGGGTCGTTTCTCTCCTAGGTACCCAAAAGAAGTTCAGGAGAGACTGGTCCAGAACATTTTTCTCACTGGTGGGAATGTGATGTATCCTGGGATGAAAGCCAGAATGGAGAAGGAACTGCTGGAGATGAGACCCTTTCAGTCTTCTTTCCAGGTACTATTTGTTTAAGCTGTTTGGAAAAATAGCATTAATTATTTTCTGATTGCAAAAGTAAAAGTTAAGGGAGAAAAATGGCTGTATAATTCTATCATCAGCAGTATCCACTATTGACATTTTTGTGACTTTTATTCTGGTCTTTAATCTACGTTTAATTTTTAAAGCAGAATGAGAAACAATTCTCTGTATACTGTTTTTTTTTTTTTTAATTGAAAAAGGAAGACATGCACATAATTAAATTCAAAGATGTCAGAACACAGGTGAGAATAAGTCATTCTCCCTGCCTGAAGGAGATTGCCTTTCATAAATTTCCTGCACTTATGTGTATTGCTTTGTTACCTGAATTTCCCTAACCTATCATAAACATTTTCCCATGTCATTATTCTTCTAAAGTACTATATTTTATGGCTGTCATATAAATGAGTGCCCCACAGTTGTCCTACCAAATCCTTGATCATCAAGTAACATAGTCTGAGCCCCCATCCTGGACCAGGCACTGTAGGGATGCTGAGATATCCTGGACACAGCCTGCAGTTGCAAGGAATTCACTATCTGAGGGTGGCAGTCAAGTAAATGAGCCATAATAACCTGGAGTGGAATGGACAGACAAGTATGGGCACCTAGAAGTTTCCATTGGTGTTCAGGGAAGGCTCCATGGAACTGAATCTTTTAAGGATGTAAATGTGTTTGCTGTCTATGTAACGTGGTGTGGGGTAGCTTGGCAAGATCATTCCCGAGAGAAGGACTAGCATGCCCAAAGGTGCAGGGGCAAAAGTTTATTGAGGGAAGGAGAAGTAACAGTGTAGCTAGAGCATATGGCTGCTAAAAAGGAATGCAGGCAGAGAGGAAGAGAAGTCAGCAGGCCCACAGGATGCAGGACCTGTGCATCCTACTAAGAAGGTCGGCCTTCATCTGTGATGCAGGTAGTTTGTTCTTCAGATAAGCCTTGTTTTCCTGCCTTGGACCCTTTGCATCTAATGGTTCCCTTTACATTGAACACTCTCCAGCTCATTGCTATTCTCTCTTGGTTGCTGGTTTATATGTCATTTCCTCCAGGGAGCCTTCCCTGTCAATAGCCCTTGCCAAACTCACCTCCAACAGGGAAGGGACAGTGTCTGCCTTTTGATAGGTGTTTCCAGCCCTTGACAGACTGTTGCTTGGTAGCTTCACAGAAAATAAGAAGGCATTGCCAGAGGGAGAGGAAAGGGGATTGACTTGAGAAAGATAAGGGGATGAAGTGATCAGAACTGATTGTGGATTTGGGGGAGAAGTGGGATTTAAGACAACTCCCCAAGTTTTATGTGGAGCCACTAGTTTGATAAATAGGACGTTCATTGGACTAGGAACTATGGGAGGAAGAAGAGGCTTGAAAGGGAGGAAACTGCATTCTGTTTCCAGGGTGGGTCAAGCTTCCAGTGGGACACACAGAAAGAGCTGGCCATAGCTAGTGAGTGAGTGCTCAGGAGAAAGATAGCAGGGTACACTCAGGGAGCCCAGGGCACTGTTGGGGAGAGGAGGTGAAGTCAAGGATCAAGTGCTAAATCACAGCAGCCTTTGAGGGCAGTAGAACACAACAGACACTTAGGAAAGACATCCCAAGAGGCAGGAGGACAGAAGGGGCAACATCACTGAAGATAAGGGCAGCATTCTGAAATGTGAGCAGGGGCTTGACTCAGTGCTGGCTTCCCATCTGTGGTAAAGTGATTGAGAAAAACCTCATGGGATTTTAAAGATCTCTTGCTTGGCAAGCCCAGAGCCTTTCCTATGGTTACTTTGTAAGCACTGGTTGTAGGAATGTGGCTGCCAGCTCTCCCCCAGCCTTATATAGAGCTGTTCTGGTGTCATGGTCCACCCCCTCTCCTCTGCCCACCTCCGCCACTCCCTTTTGCATTGCTAATGTAGCCAGTGTGTATCATGCTGTCACTAGCCCATCAATTCTAAGTGCAGATGATGTGTACAGCAGTGCCCCGAATATAAGTACTGTTAGACCCTGCGTGATTTTTAGAAGATGGAGGACTTCAAAATGTGTATTTACTTATTTCCTTAAAAAAATAATTTCTGGATCTGGGGGTGTAGCTCAGTATTAGGGCACTTGCCTGTAAGGCCCTGGGGTTCCATCCCCAGCACTGTAAAAAAAAGAAAGAGAAAGAATTCTTAAATAGCAAAATATTTTAAAACATTACTGAGATATCAGACTTTTTCATAAGACAAAATAAAAGCAGAGGAAAAGGTTTTCTTAGATACAGTTTCTCTGAACAAAATTACTTATATGTATATTTTCAGGTCATTTTCTTATCATTTGTATTATTTTATTTAAAAAAAAACACCACTAATAGCTTATTTTGTAACTCATATAGTGTTTTTCACTTTCAAACTATTATGATAGTTTTTCCTTTATCAAAGTGTCCCTTTTATGGCTGTAATATTCTATTAACGGTAGATCTTGCTACATTTCTTACTAGTGATAATGATAGCTACCCTTAATTCAGTATTCTACAAGACAGAATACCAAGCACCCTGTACTCATTCTCACCAGCTTTTCCTAAGCCAGAGCAGCAGAGGCTCTTGTCCAATCTTACAAAAATGTTACTTTTCACAAGTCCCTTGCCTCTGTGGCAGCCTGGGCAGTCAGACTCTGAGCCCAAACGTCTCTTGTCCCATCCTTCTCTCTCTGTGCATGCTGATCCTGCTTCATGTGGCCTGGCCTGGCCCTCCAGAAGTTCTGAAACACTGCCACATCATGGAACTCCTGGGGTTGGGGAGAGAGGATGGTGGGAAAGGAGGCAGACAGTTCCAGAAATTTATTTCCCAATTTATTTCCCTAAATGGTCAGGTCAGGCTAGCTGAGGACCCTCACAGAGCTGCCGACCCCCAGCCGCACTCTGACACGAGCAATCGGAACTGAGCATTGGCAGCATCACAAAGAACACCCTGGTTACCTGCTCAGCAGTCATTTTTCCCATGACTCTCTCACTGCTGTGGCCAGCCTTGTACCAGCCTCCACCTCACCTCTGTCCTGGCAGCTTGTGATTGACAACAGTGTGAAGCAGGAGGCTGGCCAGCTGATCCCTCTGACCCAGAGTGGCAGGCTTTGCCTTGGTAAAGGACTGCCTGTTCTGTGAGTTGGGCCCCATGCCCTGTGTCATCTTGTGCACTCTTGGAGAATCTGGGTGCTTCAGTTCAGCTTTGCTTGGAAGGTACAGAGGTAGGGGGAGTTGGGGCCTCCTGTACATGTTTCTGAGGACACACAGGACTGTGGGACTGTAGCTGAGCCTGCTGCAGTCACACTGGGAGCCTGAGCCTGCTGGAGGCATCTTTCTAGTGAGCATTACGTCTCATTTCAGGTTCAGCTTGCCTCGAACCCCGTGCTGGATGCCTGGTATGGTGCTCGTGACTGGGCTTTGGACCACATGGACGACGATGAAGCCTGGATCACCAGGAAGGACTATGAAGAAAAGGGAGGAGAGTACTTCAAGGAGCACTGTGCCTCCAACATCTATGTCCCCATTCGCCTGCCCAAGCAGGCCTCGCGTACCTCAGAATCCCAGGCAGCAGGCAAAGGCTCAGGAGCCAACGAGCAGGCCTAGCAGAGGGCCCTCCAGAGAGAGAGCTCCGCACACATGGCCTTTGGCAGTGTGATGGGACAAGGACTGTGCTAGATGTATTTGGCTGCAAACTGAATTTCTCCCGGGGAGAACAGACATAAGAGCAGCAGGATCATCTTGTACAGAGTTTCGTTTACCGGGGGCTACTGCAGCGTGGAAAGTCTGAGTGGCCAAGTGGCATCTGGAAGCTGGTACCAAGTTTTGTCGGCAGCTTCCAGCGAGCAATGAATGAAGACATGGAGGCCAGGGTGTACAAAGAGCACTAGACTTATTTCTTACTGCATTTTCAAGCCTTTTTTGTTCTAAAAAAAAGTTATGAAGTTTTATCAGTGTATTTTTTCCTACCGTATTTATTCAGAAATTGTGTGATTGCCCAGAGGGGAAGGTCCTTCATATATTAAAAGCTGATATTTATATTAAAGAAGCAAGTGGTCACTTTGAAATCTCAGGAGCTGGGAATATTTGCTGCCTCCTATTATTTCCCCTTTAAATAAGAAACAGAGGAAAGGAGAGGGTCACCACCACCTTGTGCAAAGTCACTCTGCTAGCTAAGGACCTGCTTGGTGCCCTCTTGTGAGTGAACGGAAATAGAGCTAGTGGCTCAACTTTTATTCATACTTTGTTTGTTGGAGACTTTTCTACTACATGAGACCTTTCTACAAAAATTTTATTTCTATCCCTGTGAGTTTGTTGGCTCCTTAATGTTTTTAAGTCTCTCTGAAAGAAATCGACTGAAAAAGGTAGATCCTGTAGCCTTTATCCTGCCACAATCTCACTTTCCCTGAGCTTTGGTGAGTCTTGTAGTAGGAGAATCTGAGACATCTCATTTGTTACATAGTGAATGGACAAATAACCCCTCTTTTATGGAGATTGCTTGTTGGGAGTTCTAACTCATCGAGAATTAAGCCCAGAAACGCTCCTGAGCTGCTAATATCGTTGTCACAGAACCTGTGCATTTGGATCCCATGGTGCCTCAGCCTGCCTGCTGATGAGGCTGCTTTAGAACCTGGATCCAGCTCTCGAGGGTTTAGAAACTCAGACCAGGAGGGAGCTGTGGTGGTGGAGGAGGAGGTAGGAGACTCAAGCGGACCCAATAATTTTCAAGGCATGGTCCAGTAAGCCACTGGCCATTGTGGCTGGGCCCAAGGACTGATGAGATGGCAGGAAACATGAATTTTGAGTGGGCTTGGGATAGATGTGAAGAAAGCAGGACTGATCTTAGCTGGGCAAGAGGGGCTGGGGCAGGGGTTCAGTAGAAGAGCTCTTGTCTAGAATGTTTAAGGCCTGGTTGGATCCCCGCACCACAGACACAATGCAACAGTAACAAAACCCCAGTCTGAAAGGCAGTGGTGGGGTCAAAGGACTGCCTTGGAGGTCATGTCCTCATGGAGAAAGACCCTGGGCAGGTCTTTCTCAATTAGGCACTTTGTGACCAAACAAGCTAGCAAGCTGGATGTGCTCATTCTCGCAGGTGATACACTGATATACACAGGAAAGTTGGGGGCCGTGGTGAGGGTCAGGCCAAGGGGCTGAGCCTTGAGCTGTCCGGTTTCTTCTTTCTTTGAGCATGCCAGGCTTTCTGTGACCAGCTTTGCACATGCAGCCTTCCTCATTCTTTCCCAGCACACTAGGTTTTGGTACCCCAGGGGTTTCCTCAGCCCCTTGCACAAGCCACCAGCCAGACGTTCACCACCTAGCTGTGCTTTAGGCCCAGGTGGTTTTTTTTACACTGTTATGTGTTCCTCAAGAGAAGGAACAGAAACACACTACATCAAACAGAAAAAATACATAATTTTAATACAAATAATCTATTTTTAATTTTTTCATGTTTTTATGTATTTGGGGCATTAATTCCTTATCAAATACATCAGTTCATAGACTACCCTTTCATTCTCTTTATTCTCTTTTACTAGGCAGAGTTTTTTTTCTGTTTGATGTAGTCTGTTTCTGTTTTTGATTAAGCTTGAAGTGTCCAGAGCCCAGAGTTGCATCTGAAGGGTACTGAGGACTGCAGGGAATATGTCCATGGTGACGCCTTGATTTGGGGCCTTGGCCTCCAAAACTGTGCAAGTATAAATAAATATCTGTTGTTTTGAGCCCCAAGTCTGTGGTAGCTAGAACAGCAGTCCTTGGAAACAAGTACAGATGGCCAGGTTCAGTCCAGGAGTGAGTCTGAGACAGGTAGGAAGTAGTTAGCCACAGGGGAGGAGCAACTTGCCCATGAGTTGGAGGAATCCCAGCATAGCAGAACTCGGAACATCAGCAGAGGTTTCCCCCAGGAAAGCGGAGAAGCAGAGGGGAAGGGGCTTGGAACAGTTCCGCTCTTCCCCATCTCTCCAGCCCCAGCAGTCACGGTCTACTCTCTGCTTCTATGAGCTAGACTCAGATACCTCATAAGAGTGGAGTGAACCATGCAGATTTGTCCTGTGGCTGGCTTGTTTCACTAAATGTCCTCCAAGTCCTTCCCTGTTGTCACCAGTGGCAAGATTTCCTTTTCTATAACTGGAAAGTGTTAGTATGTTTTTACCATGTTTTTATCTGTTCGTCTGTTAGACATTTAAGTTGCTTCTGTGTCTTGGCTGTTGTGACCAATGCTGCACTGAACATGGAAGTTCAGATTCTTCTGAAATCCTGATTTCATTCTTTTGGATTTATACCAAGAAGTGGGGTTGCTGGGTCCTGTGGGTTCTATTTTTAATTTTTTCAAGGAAATGCCATACTGTCTTTCATAGCAGTTGCACCATTTTATGTTCCTACCAACAGTACACAGGGTTCCAATTTCTCCACAACCTCACCAGTTCTTGCTATTTCATGGCTTAATTTGTTTTATGTAGTAGCCAGACTAATGGATTTTGATAAGAATTGCCCTGATGATTAGTGATATGTATCTGTTGGCCATTTGTAGGTCTTCTTCAGAAAAAGGTATTCAAATCCTTTGTCCATCTTTTAATTGGGTTTTTGTTTTTGTTATTGGAGTTTTTATGTATTTGGGGCATTAATTCCTTATCAAATACGTCAGTTCATAGATTACCCTTTCATTCTCTTTATTCCCTTTTACTAGGCAGAGTTTTTTTCTGTTTGATGTAGTCTGTTTCTGTTTTTGCCTTTGTTGCCTATGCTTTCTTTGAGTCTTAGCCAAGGAATCACTGCCATATCTGATGTCACAAATGTTTTTCTTCATGTTTTCTTCTAGGCATTTTATGCTTTCAGTTCATAGGTTTAGGTCTTAACATAAATAAATTTATATTATTATACAATATATACCGTGTGACTTTACGTTATATATGCATATATGACTGTGTATGTGTGTTTGGTACTGGGGATTGAACCTGGGGTGCTTTACCACTGAGCTACATTTGCAGTCCTTTTGATTCTGAGATGGGTTCTTACTAAGTAACTGAGGCTGACCTTGAACTTGGACTTCTCCTGTTCCAGCCTCCTGAGTTGCTGGGATTACAGATATGCTCACTGTACCCAGCTGAATTTTATGTTGAAGAAAAAAAAGGAACAAAATTAATATTTAAAGCAACACCTCAGAACATCCCCCTTCCCCTCATAAAAGAAAACCCCCTGATCATAATAAGTATCATAAAGACACTGATTGGGAAAGTCAATTCAGAAGTGTCAAGTCCTACTAAAACTATTAGACTTTAGAAACAAAGAAGGCTGGGAATGTGGCTTAATGCTCGCCTAGCATGTGCGAGGTCCTGGGTTTGATCCCCAGTGCTGCCCAAAGAAAGAAAGAAAGAAAAGATCTCTGGGCCTAGGCCTAGGCAAATGAGATGGGTTACACCAAAAAGAAAAAAGTCACTTTTTATTGGTTGGGTTTTTTTTGTTGTTGTTGTTGTTTTTGCATCAGACTTTGTCCCCCATTAAGAGAATGGATATCAGACTTTCTAACAACAATATCCATTACAAGAAACTGAATAGAATAATTAGAACACAAAAATGGTGAAATAAATACATTTTTAAAAAAGATAAAAATCACTAGAAAACCTAATTAAGAGTAGAGGAAGTATAAATATATAGTAAATAAGAAAATACTCATCAAAAGAAGAAATAAATCATCTCCTTTATATAATTCTTTGTAAATTAGACTATGTAGATCAAATGCTCAATTTTCTAGGAAAATATAATTTACCAAAACTGACATTCACAGGGATAAAGTCAAGCAGACCTATTCCATGAAAGAACTCAAGAAAATTGTGACAGAACTACCTCCTTTTCCCAAAAAAGATACTCCAGGTTCAGTTGAGCTGATGGGATTTTACTAACCTTAAGGACCAGACACCTCTGGTGTTCCTTAAGCTTTTCCAGAGCATAGGAAACAAATTACAAACTATTATAAAGTGATGAATGTAAAAGCTACAAAAAGTTCTTATATTTACTATCAAAAATCCAGTAGATAGCAATGAATGAGAAAATGATAGACCAATTTCTAAAAAATACCAAGGCCTGGTGAAGTTGCACAGGCATGTAATTCCAGTTACTCAGGAGGCTGAGGCAGGATGATTGCCAATTTCAAGGACAGCCTGAGCAACTTAGCTGAGGCCCTGTCTCAAAATAAGGAGGGCTGGAGATGTAGCTCAGTGGTAGAGCACTATCCTAGCATTCATGAGGCCCTGGGTTCATTCCCCAGTGCCCAAACAGAAGAATACACCAGTCAATTATTTGTAAACTATTACTTATACATTAAACACACACACACACACACACACACACACACAGAGTGACCAAATGGATTTTTATCCCAAAAAAGCAAGTATATTTCCCAAATATCCAAAATCTCAAGCTTAACACCAGGTTTATTTCTCATGCTGTGTCTAGTCAGTGTCACATGGTGGACAGGGATGGAGGTCTGCAGTCAGTGCACACCCCCTGCCATCTTATGATCCTGACATCTCAACACAAAGCAATAAAGAACATCAGTTGGCAAGTCCTGGCACCGGAATGTTACACCCATAAGTGATGCACATCACACCTACTTGTATTTCACTGGCCAGAGCAAATCACTTTAACCCCATTTAATTTCTTAGAATTCCATTTTACTTCCTCTATTTTGTTATACCTCTTATTTTTTGGTGGTTGTTCTAGGGTTGATAATATGCATCCTTGGGCTGGGGCTGGTGCTGGGGCTCAGTGGTAGAGCGCTTGCCTAGCATATGTGACGCACTGGGTTCGATTCTCAGCACCACATACAAATAAGTAAAGGTCCATCAACAATTCAAAAATCTTTTTTAAAAAAAATATTTATTTTTTAGTTGTAGTTGGACACAATACCTTTATTCTATTTTTTTTTAATGTGGCGCTGATGATCGAACCCAGGGCCTCAAATGTGGTAAGCGAGCGCTCTACCGCTGAGCCACAACCCCAGTCCCAGACTTTTTTTTTGAAACAGGGTCTCACTAAGTTGCTGAGGCTAGCCTCCAACTTTTGATTCTTCTGCCTCAGCCTCCAGGTTGGCTAGGATTACAGTTGTGTACTACCACCCGGCTGGTGGTACCATTCTTAAACTGTACATGAAATGTTATGGAATTACTTCAAGGCTGATTATGTTAAGGATGCATTTAAAAAAAAAAAAAGGTCTGGAGATGTAGGTGGGTGATGAAGTCCTCCTAGGCTCCCTCCCCATTTACCCCACTAGTCCCGCATGCTGCTGTCATGTGTTTTACTGTTACTTCTGTATAACCCCATCATACAGTGTGAATATTTTTGTTTAGTCAGCAGTCTTCTAGAGAAATCTAAAGAGCATCTTTTGTTTACCTACATGTTGACTTTCTACATGGGAGAGAGGGGGAGGGAGAACATTCCTTGGCTGGTCTTCACTCATGGATTCTCCTCAGGAATGCTTAATGGGATGAGGGCCTTGCCTTCTGGCTAGTGCTCAGCTTAAAAACTCCTTTGGAAATGTTCCAGAGGAAGGGGTGAGATTCTCCTGGGAGCCGCTCCTCAGCCTGGACCACCTTCTGGTTCAGCAAAATTGAGAGATGAATTTGGCTGCCTGGCACTTTCCAGCCTGTGCGGTTTCTGATGAGCACCTGGCAGGCAGGGAATATTCTTTTCTTAGCAGTTTCCCGGTCCAGCGACCACCTCGGCATTGCTGGGGCTGGAGGATGATGGGCATTCCCCAGCCTGGACAAACTGCTGGCAACTTGAGCTTTTGGCTCCCCAGGTGGGGAAGCTTGACCTGCTGACCACTCCCCGGCTTGGGACCCTTCAGCAATATCTTGCACTGAGCTTTATCACAGTGTTACATGCTTGAGGCTTTACACCTGGACCGGAATATCCATGCTGTGATGATCATCAACAGAACAGTCCCAGTGTATGAACGAAGTCCTTTTGTTGATAGTGATTTTGTCTGCCTCTGTCGTAGGCATTCCTGTTGCCATTCTGAGAAAGTATTCTCAAGTGCTAGAGTATACATACTCCTGAAAACAAGAGCACAATTGACCAGAATATTTGCAAAGGCTCCCAAGGGGAAGGATGACCTGCCTTGTGTTCTGACCGTAGCTCTTAAAATATTGCTGAGATCCACGGGTAATCCTAGCCCAGCTCCTGAGGGCCAATCCTTGGGTAGTGGGAACAAGATGAGTGAACAGATGCTCTGGTGCCACCTGGTGGCTATCCAGGGTGTACCACAATGACAGATGCAAAATCCCTGAAAGCTCTGGAGGACCAAAGTAAACAAGGGCCAGAGGATCAGGGCCAAGCAATGAAGGTGAGACCAGACGTGGAGCTTGGAACATGGAGTATTTGGGGTTTGGGGGAGCTGCAGAAACAATCTTGAAACTTCTGTTGTGTTTTTCCATATCTGACTTTGGGTTTTCAGCCTGCTGTCCAGTGGGACTCCAGTGGGTGGCCTCCAGAATGTAGATCCTCCTGGTTGACAAGGAAGAGATGTTGCCCCCTTCCCCGGCAAGTCTGGAAAAGCACAACTCCCTAGAGCATTACAGAGAGGCAGGAGGTAGGGAGCACTTGCCCCACTTTACCCTCCAGCCCCAGCAGAGGCTCTTGTGTGGAAATGTGGGCTCTCTAATTCAGTTCTGATTTCGGCTGCAAATTGTATATGAAACGGTGATCTTAAGCTGCCTGGGTTTCAGAGAAAACTGTGCTGTTAAAAACATGTATGTTTTGAGTTGGTAGCTTTGCTTAATTGTATATTGCCATGGTAATACAGACATTTCTGTTTTTAAACAGCTGGCCATGGTGGTACATGCCTATAATCCCAGAAACTTGGGAGGCTAAAGCAGGAGGATCACAAGATCAAGGCCAGCCTCTGCAGCTTGGTGAGATCTGTTTCAAAAATCAAAATGGTTGGCATGTAGGTCAGTGGTTGAACATCCCTGTGTTCGATCCCCAGTACCTAAAAAAAATAATCAAGAACAAGTTCATCAAATTCATTTGTTTTTCCTTATTCTGTGACCTTGATTCCTTAAAACAGAGTTTAAAAGTCTTTGTCTCATTTAACAATATGTGCGTTGTGGCTGGGGTGTGGTTCAGTGGTAGAACACTTGCCTAGCATATACCATGCTCTGAGTTTCATCTCCAGCACTGCAAAAAACAAACAGAAACAAAACAAAGCAAAAGAACAATACATGCTTTGTATATTTGACTTGGGAAACATGTACATGCTATACATGATTGTAACAAGCCAATTTTAGTCCAAAAAAGAACACAATCGTTAAAAACAAAGAGAGGCAAGCTGGAAGCTTACACAGAGAGGACTTATTTTAAGTAGATGACTTTATTTTAAGTGCCTTTTTTCATAGTTGTTGAGAAAAATAGTAGTTGAATGTACATCTTTAGTGAGACACGTTGTAAAAAAGGAACTGCAAAAAAATCTTACTGTTTTCAGTAACAATGTTGTTAGTAATAGCATTGGTATGGTATTCTAAAAGACAAATTCTTGTGTCTGTAGATTAAAATAGTTACGTTAATACCAGAAGCCGAGATTTCAGTGTGATAAGATGTAGAAATATAAAATCAGATCTTAAGTTTGAATTGTAAATATCAATTTGAACGCAAGATATGTTTTTCTTTGATTATTACTTTCTTAGCTGAAATATAATCTAGAAATAATGGAGAACTCATAACAGGGGATGCCCCTAGTACCCACATTATAGTTTCTCAACACTGTTTCCTGTTTAAAGGAACCAGTGTTCCTTGGGGAAGTGACTGTTTCTAGTCCTGAAAGTGCGTAAAATGAGCCTGGATATCTTTTTTTTTTTTTTTTTTTTGGCACAGGGTATTGAACCCCCT